TTTATTGACACGTTTTAAATACGATGCACAAACCTGAATCATCCCAGCTTCTGCTTTCAATCTTTTGTGTTTCTTTTAGTCCAAAATCAAACAAAACCTTCCTAACGCTTCAACCTCTCATGATCAGCACTTCTTCTTCTGGGGAGACTCCAGCACACTGTATGCAGGCTTCTACTTTACCCCTACTTTACGCAGCTACGCCCTCTCCGGTGGACCTTGGTACTGCATGCCATTTCTAAGCGATTTTTTTTTTTTTTTACTCTTCAAAAGCCAAAATTAGATTCAGGGCCTTTCAGAAACCATCAGGGGCTTGAGCCCTAGTAGCCAGCCTTAACCCCGCCCCTGGTTCAGGGCCTGTTCCTGTGCAGCCATGATGAGTGCCTCTGTGATCTCCTTCAGACCTGCTAACTCAAGCCATTGGTAGGGTTTCTTGATATCAGCCACTTCAGTTATATGTCGGTGCAGTAGTACATCCCATGTAGGGGTCTGTCCTCCCACGGTGATATTTGCAGTGTCTCCTCCTCTGTTAGCCATTGTCTGAGACATTCACTGAGCACGTCATCGGTTGGGGCCTTGTCCTTGATGTACTTATGGATCTTGAATATTTCATCCTGGACGGTGGCTCTCACACTCACCAGTCCTCAGCCTCCTTCTTTATGGCTAGTGGTTGATTTGGGATGGAACCCTCCATGCAAGGTTAGGAGCTTCAGTGTTGACATCTGTGGTCTGTTTTATTTTATTATGTAATTAAATAACAGTAATAAAGAAACAAGCCTTTTCCACCTACAGATCCCCCACCAGGGGGCAGTAGACATGTATAGAGCTGGATAAAGCAGGTTTCTGGGGAAGGTACTAACCCTGATACTTCATCTGGCTGATTTAAGGCCAAAATAGGTTTAACAAAAGTTTGAAATGATGGTTTACAAGAAGTCAAACTTCTAATATAACAAAATAACAGAAACAGTCTGCTAAACTGATAAATTATTCAGCCTGCTTCATCTGAGGTAAGTTTAATTTGAGTCTGATCTTTCTAAATTTGCAAACAACAACCTTAAATCTGCATCAGAAAAGTAGTTTGAGTGGAAATCATCTCATCTTTAAATACAAATTAGTATATATAATTCTCTCCAACATAAAAGCTTCACGTCTTTTTATCAAATCTCCAGAATCAGAAAAGAATGACGTTCAAAGCAACAGAAGACGGGAATTCAGGCTTCTTGCTGCTTAACTGAAATATGTAATTTCAGTCTTTGAAGCAGTGAGCCAATCTATTTTTGGTGGCTGGAAGAAAGCCGTCCACACTTGAGCAATAATTTAAACTTCTTCCAGTGTTTTTCTCCATTTAAGAGATCTGAGATAGAAGGATTCAAAGGTTAATCTCAAAGAGAGAAAACAGGAAATAACAGAGGGTAGGATGTGCTTCAGCACCTCTTCATACCAGTAGAAGCAATCACAGTGCAAGTGTACTTAGTGCAAATCATAGAGCTTGACTGATTTTTATTTTTATCACTTAAGCACATGGCAGTGAAGTGGAAATGTGCAGCATCTCAAACAGGTGCGTTCAGTTGAAATCCTGTCCTCTTTTTTATGCAGAGCAGCAGTAATGATAACACCGAGGGATAAAGACCGGGATGTGCATGAGCATTCATGCAGAAATTTTCTTATTAAAGAGCTGTCGAGAATAGTGGGGGGGTTTCCAAAAGACGAAACCTTATTGGGTTTGCTCATCAGCAGGGAATAAAAGCACCCGTCTAATGTTTAACTGAAGGGGTGAAGTGGGGTGAGCGACCTTTATTGTCGTGTTTTCATTACCGATGGAAAAGTAATGAGCTGCAAACAGCTGCAAACCTGAGAGGAGGACTAATCTCAATCAGGATGTCAGGTATGGACAGTTGTCAGGTATGGACAGTTGTCAGGTATGGACAGTTGTCAGCAAACAGACATTAAACAAGAGCAAGGTAGCTGTGTGACTTGATGAAATTAAGCAACA